TAATCTTAAAACAGTACAAAACCTATTCATCTTTGGAACAGGTGACAAACTCTTATGGCAAGAACTTAATACATACAAAGGTTACATATCAATTGGTTCTGCTCTTCACTGGTTCACTACCATTTTCATCACCTGTGAAACTGGTGTCCTTGCTTGGATTCCGATTTAATCTTGACGATCCTCACTAAACTCACTTGGTCTTAATGATTTTTGCTTGGATTGTTACCTCCTGTGATCGATAACCTTTTGCCCTTTCGGTTCATTTAAGTTTATGTAAATACCACTCTAGGACTAGATCTTCAAGCTCCAGATTGGAATAGATCAGTTTAGGATTTACCTCTTTGGATTGTGTGACAGAGTCTGTTGTTACCAGTTTGGGTTGAGATTTTGTGAGCTTTTACTGGAGTTAGACCAGAAGCCTTTCTTCATGCAATCTTCTGTATTTCGACCAGTTTTCAATCCACGATCGTTGGGAAAATCAGAGGTCCCATCTTCATGCAACCTAACTGAATTTGAATATGATAAGGATTATTGGGTACGACATATGCAGGATATCCAGTAAACCTACATATGAAGGTAAATTTGCTTTTTGCCCCCTGTGGGTATTGAACTAGGGACATGTGTTTGGTAATCTGAAAGCACTACCTATTGTGCTATTGACTCACAGGTCATTATACCAACCTTTTCAATATTCTTTTAAGTAAATTTGCTATAAACAAATTCACCAAAAGCTTTTCCAAAATGAACATCATTATCAAATCTAACAAAAAACTGTTAGAAACAAATAGACTTAAATTTTGATCACTAGCAACTTTCAGAACCAAAATTGTAGCAAATCAACTTTCTACTCAAGACAAACTCCATAAAAGATGCCCTCTTCTCTATAAAGATAATCTGTGTTCCCAATGCAAGGCATATCCAGAAACCTTAGATCACATATTTTCATGTTACTATGGTCTTCCTATATTAAGGAAAAAAAGAAACAAACTTAAGACTCTTATTGCTCTCAATATTTTCAAAGAGAAATTAAATTCAAGTGAGGCATACCTCCTTCAAATAATCAACATAACAGGCAAAATTTTATTTAATCTAGCCTTTGGCAAGTTCAACAACTCTTTTAATATTATTTGAAAAAAAGAAGAGATTTCAAATCATTATCTCAAAATCTAGAACAAAAATTGTGAAACAGTGCTTAGCAACTGCCACTATCTCAACAATTTCAGGAATCACAAAAAAAAACTATCCCAGCTACAAATCCTAATATTAATTTCTTAAACACAAGCACTTTTCAGAAAGTACTCAATATTCTAAAAAATTCAAATAATCTTACTAACAAAAAAATTTTTATATTAGCTATAGTATTATTATTTTGAATAGGCATTAGCCATTCAATGCCTTTAGTATGCAAACACCTACTTGGTATCATTATGTACTAATTGAAAAGTTGCAATAAGCTACAATTAATTTAATTTCTATATATCTTAAAGATTGTTAATGTAATGACAATAAACTTCTGTTTAATAAATGTCTTGCATTTAATGTCTATTTGCAATTTTTTTTTTAAAAAAAAAGAAAAGAAATATTAAAAAAGTTTATAAGTAATTTTTAAACTATAGATTTTTTAAAAATATTTTTATAATTTTTATAATTACGTATTTATTTTTCTAAAAAAAAAATAATATGTTTTAAATATATAATAAATGATATTGTATTTTTTTAAAAAGGATTTTTTAGCCAATTCCTAAAATTTATTAATTTATTCTACACATTACACATCACATATCATTTCATCATGTAATATAATAGCTAATCAATAAAATAAAATAAAATAAAATAATTTATTGTTTAAAGTTCTAGTGATTTTGCTTATCAGTTATCGAAACGTGGATGCTATCTATCCACCGTGTTTCTTTATTACGATCACCTAGTTCCTTGACATAAAACAATAATTGTAATTATTATAATTCATTAAATGTAGTTGATACATACACTATATCGTATTTATTTTTTAAATTTTAGAATACCGTATAAAACTTTTCATGATAATTTGGTAATAATAATTGGTGATAACGATAACGATAATAAATGTCATATGCATACGCATGCGGCCGCCAAATTTTTGGATAAATTAAAAAAAAATTTTTTTTTCGATGCTATTTAAGAGCATGCCTTATAGCTTAAACGAATGTCATTGATGCACTATGAAAACTATGAAATACTACGCTTTAATTCACTAAAAAAAGTCCAAACTACGGACATTAAGTAAATTGTTACGACCATATGCTTTTTTTTTTTCATTTTAATTTTCATCAATGGCTACTATTTTTTTTTTTTCTCTAGAAAAAATTTTCAATTATTACCACTTTGGTTTTTTCAATGGTTAACTTTTTTCCTTTAAAAAAAAAAAAAAAAAGATTTGTCGATGAATTAATTTTTTTTTCCTTTAAAGAAAAAAAAAAAAAGATTTGTCGATAAATTATTTTTTTTCCTTTAAAAAAAAAAAATAATAAAAAAGTCGCCAACGGTTGCTTTTTTTTTCCTTTAAAAAAAAAAAAATGGTCGCCAACAGTTGTTTTTTTTTTTTTTCCTTTAAAAAAAAAAAAAAGAAAGAAAGAAAAAAAGCGGAAACGCAGATACGCAAGGTTAACGTGTACAATTTATTTAAACATAGATAATAAATGTCATGGTCGGGCGAACAATGTGAATAAAAACGAAAAAAAGGGATAACCAAAAAAAGAGTAATAGAAAAGGGTGATGACAAAAATTTGGTTATATAAAAAAAAAAAAAAAAAAATCATAACGTGAATGTATTAGATGTATAAATAGTAACCGATTTTAACAAATTTAATTCTATCATAAGCGACAAGGGCCAAGAAATAATAATAAAAAAAAAACAGGTTCATTAGGTTCATTAGATTCATTAGATTCATTGGGTCCATTAGTTTCTACATGTCTTACGATATCTATGACGTTGAAATAACGTTTGAGAATCTAAAGGTTAAATTGAATCAAAGGGATTTCTAAAATTCAAAAATACACTGACCGCATAATCTATTTTTTATATAAATGTACTTTTTACAATACTCGACAGTATTGAAAAGAGAAAGAGCTTGATCACTAAACACCACTGCCAAGAGGATGATAGCAGTAGTGTAGTCTTCGAAAATGCCATTGCCTAGAAGTTTAGTAGTGTAGTCTCCAGCTCACTAGGACGACGGACAAAAGCAGTTTGGTAAAAAGTTTCCAAGACCCCACCGAGTTGACCAGGGGATTTGGTAAAAGGTTTTTAACAGATCCAAAAAAAGAGTATAAAAATCGAGGTGGCGGGTTTGGTAAAAGGTTTTTAACGGATCTGTTTTTTACCGGGGGCTTTGGTAAAAGGTTTTTAACAGCTTATATTTTTACCGGAGGGTTTGGTAAAAGGTTTTTAATCGTATTTCTCAATATACGAAAGTGAACTGCTTAGAAGCCTCTTCGTCATTTCCGAGACCTAAGCAATATAGTGCTCGTCTAGATTTAGTGTCAGCAATAACAATATCGTATAATTAATTAAGATTTGTGGCGACGTTAATACGTAAAGTGACTAGTTGTCTGGGTACGTATGAATTTTTTCCTTGAATGCCCTCAATAATTTTATTTTATCCTCAAGCACTCTCAATAATTTTTTTTTCTTCTTTCCTCCTTATATATACTTCCAACCTAGGGCAGAAACTTCATAAATACCTTCTTTCAAGTTTAATACTGTCGCTCGCCTGTACAAATGTAGAAGCATAAACGTAAACTTAATGACAAACGGAGAGGCGTGTGTAAGACTTTAAGCGGAAGACGAAAGCTTACCTGTGTATTCAAATGAGAACTTTGAAGTACGGGTATAGAAAAATTTCTATCGATAGGACACGTATCTCTACGCACACAAGTACACAGCATCATAAGGGCTGTGAAACATCAAGCATCACGTGGACATTGAAACATATATATTAGAAAAAAAAATGACGGATTTCTCATTTTTTCCAAACGCAAAAGAAAAAAAATATATATATAGAAAAAATAATGGAGATATTTTTTTTTTTGAATAACCTAGATGTAACAAAAGCCATGAATACGTACGCACTTCATTGGTGAAGCGGAATCTAAAGATGTTTACACACAATTTTTATTGCATGTTTTTTATCTCTAAAGATTTTGTGTACGTTCTCGCTGTCCAGAAATTTTAAGATAAGTATTGAATGAATGTAGGCGTATCTTTGGGTAAAATTGAGTTCAGAAATGTTTAGTATCGAACTTGGCATCTAAAAGGAAGGAAAGTCTGAGAAAATTTGGTTTGAATCATAAACAATATATAGCTTAGACATCATATCATCGTACATATCAAAAAAAAAAAAAAAAACCCCAAATACAAAAACATATACGTATGCGTAGGCACGTACGTCCTATTTATTCGTACATCATAGTGTAGCACACGCGAGTTTCACAACAGCCTACCCGAGATTTGCATAGATCGGCCGAAGCCAGATTGGTACTTTTCGGATAACAAATTAATGTTCTTTTCCAAAATCGGATGCATTAATGCTTGGGTGCCACCGCACGTACATTGAATTCTGGGCACCCAGAGTGGATGGATATAAGTATATAACTCCTCATCGAAATTGTGTTCTTTATTTTTATCCTTCGTACGTGCAATATATTCGAGGTAAATTTTTCATTTTATTTTTGTTGCGAGATAATCGCCCATAGAAAATCGATTTGTATGCGAGATTGTGTAAATGACGAAATACCTTTTTCTTTGTTACCAAACCACAGATCACTTTCTTTATTTAGCAGTCTAATCGCTTAATCCTTTTTTCGGGTCAGCAAAAGAATAATATAAATAATTTCCAACTCCGTGAGTCCACCCATTCACATCTTTTACTCACTCACTCACCCACACACACCTCATTGTTTGCAAGATGATTCCAAACAAACCGTATTTTCTTTCGCCAACAAACTTCGATTCAACAAGCATGGAGGCCACGCTCGAGAGATTCTCAAATTATCCACCATCAACAATAAAAGACGTCATCATCTCACGGTTGGTAGGCGAGATAAGGGTTCAGGGCAGGACCTTTAGAACTCTCACCAAGGCTAGCGTCAACTTTGAGACCCTCTCACTCAGGAGTTCGGAATTCCCTTTACATCCTTCCGAGATGACCGTTTCTGAAGTCCTTAGGGAATTTGATCTGATCCGAAAAGGTTACAGCGACATATCAAATAATCTACATCGAATATCTGGTGATTTCCAGACACACCGATCTAACCTCGAAAAGGAATTGCACATGCTTCATCAAGAAGCTGCCGACTTACGTCATCGTGCTGGCGCGGAAAAATCAGGAGCGATAAAGACAGGCCTACTTGCCGGATTTGGAGTCGGATCACTTTCAAACACAACGCTTTACATAATAGCTCCTTCATTAGATGGTGGTCTGACATTATTTGCCACAATAATTACCGGTGGCGTGCTTGGTTGGTATTATGGAAATAAGCTGGGTGCAAAACTAAGGCAGGAAGCTGAGATAAAGGAACAGAGAATTCATGATTTAAAGAATAATACGGAATACATTGATTTTGTGGTGAAGGAGGTGAACGATTTTGATAAGGGCATCGGACTCTTCAAGGATTCCTGGGCGAAACAATTTAAACATGCCCCCGTTTCCAAACAGGTCATAAACAAAATCAAAAAGGAAAACCTGGAGATGAACAACCTTTCGGTAAAATCACTATTGGCTTCATGGACACATGCCAAGTCGAAACTCCCTAATTATCAAAACCATGCCTGCCTCTAATGTATTCGATGTAATTTGTCTTTCCCGGCGAATTTAATTTTTTTACATAATCTAATTCTTAGAATAAACTTCTGTTCGCGCCCCGATGTTTAAACAAACAAATTTGCATCAATGAATATATTTTTATTTTCATTGTCATGTGAAAATTCTGTAAATTAAACGCTGCGTGACGTTAACCAACGTGACCTCTCATTTCACATACTGTATATTGAACGTGAAGGGCCAAGCTTCTCGCTACACAATGATAATTTATTTTCCAATAGACACACACATAATAATTATTACCTAGAGCCAAATTGGGTGTACTGTATATAAAAATAAAAAATACGTAATAATAATAATAATAATAGTTTTTTTATCTTTCAATAAAAGCATGTGACAATCAAAGTCGACTGATTTCATTTTAAACGAGAGAAAATTCGAGTATTCTATATGACATTTTTATGATTGATCTTTATCACTGATATTTCGAGGTTAGCCAGTTACTCTTTTAGTTTTTTAATTCGGGTTAGCGCATTTACATAAGGTACATGCATGTACGCTCATTTATGTGACGTGATCCACCACAGGTGTGCATGTATGTAAGCCTCTCACATTTCGGGATCACGTTACCATGCTCATTTACGTTACTAGCTGACCACAGCCGTTCGAACAAAAAAACTTTAATTAATTAATTAGAAAGATACAATTAATACATCATTAAATACGCACATCTACATTATAATGTTGTTTGTCATTATAGGAAAATTCTACTGTATAACTGTATACGCGAAATTTCAAATTGAAAAGGTAGTGGTGACAGGCTTTCATAACGAGGTGCTTAACAAATCGTCATCCTTGAAACTTGCTTATTTAAAAATGCGTACTGAGTTTTTGTTTCTCTTTTTGATGGTGAGATACTGGAGTGGGGGTGCGATATGTTAACGAGACTATCTTTAATTGACGATTTAATAAAAAGGTGATTATGAAAATTATGTTTGAGTTGGCGAGTAATAAAGCGATAAAAGAAATAATAAACGTAGATGTCTATGTTTGGGGTTGACGATCATACGAAATTTCACGTTTGATTAAAATTGTTAAAGTATGTAAAGTAAGCAAAGTCTAAGTGGTGTAATTAATGATGGGTTTGATGATTAAATTAATTAATGATTCGAAGAGCTACTAAAATTGATTAAGAATTAAGGTGTATTAATAAAGGTGTATTACGCTATTAAAGAGTGACAATGCCTTCGAAGGTTCCGAAGAATTGTCGGGTGATTCTAATTTGTCACAAATAATTTGGGCCATACACTAACCGAAGATAAAAAAAAAAAAGTCAGCAAAGCTGTCAAAAATCTGGATAAATCAAACTCCTCACTTCCGAATGCGTTCACCTACCATTTCCAATAAGAATCAATACTCTTGAAGGTCGCCAATTCTCCATGTTTCCTGCACTGGCGGCAGATCTTTAAAAACTCATCGGAAGGCTTCGTTTTGTCATTCCAATAATAACAAATATGTTGGAGGTGGGTCTTCGATTGAGTTTTCAGGAAGAATTCCCAGACTGGTGGAGAAAAACTCCAGTCAATCAGATCTAACCTACGCAATTTCGTCGGTACATTATCGAGCAGTTGATACAGCAGAGTGTCACTGTAAGCACGATTGATGCTAACGTTGCTGCCATCATTCCTGCCGAATAATCTATTGTTGCTGTGGTTACGACTATTGCTTGATCCGTTAATGCTAGTTGAATCGTATAAGGCATCGGTATCTTGTATAGCATAAAGTCGTAGGTCTTTGAGTCGCCCACAAAATTCCATGATCCAATTCAACTTTGGATTATTGCTCGACATCGGTATCGAACATGATCTCAGATGGGGACATTTGTTTGCGATAGAGTGCACAAGATTAAAACTATTTTGAGGGTCGGTAATTCTTCCCCCCTCGATAGTAATCTTTCTAAGTTTTCCCACCGTGTGATCTATCAAGTCCGCTAGATATTCCAACGTGTAATCATGAGAGCATCGGAATTTGAGTTTCGTGAGATGCTTTAGAACGGGCGGGGTTAATGTTTCCGTATGATCACACCTTCGTTCTTCTATACATTGAACCGTTAATTCTTGTAGATTGACAAAATCCGATAATTTTGTCAACAAGGCACATGAATTCAACAGGTGGAGACTGGTGATGAATGATGTTTTCTTTGATAGCTCGTAACCGACCCCGGACGCCGTCCAATATTCGTCGGGCGAAATTCGAGAGAAGTTTTCGAAACAGACCTTTTGAATTTTCTTTTGGACCCGAACCAAGTTTGCCAGTGACTCGGTGTTGTAACTACCGATGATTAATATTTGCGTGATATCGGTGGTGAGCAGGGATAATTGATTAAATATGTTGTCCATCAGTGGCTTATCCCTACATTCCAGTCCCCTCAAGAAGGAAAGACAATTTTTCCGGGAGCCGAGATTCTCCAACAATTGTGGAAAAATTTCCACCTTGGAGTAATCATTAATACGCAGGATATATATCTTTGGTGACTCTCTGAGGAACAAGGATAATAACTCCGAGCAAACAACTCGAACCTTGTCTTGCGGTGGCATCGTGGTCCATGTGTCCGAGCTTGGCGATGATCTTTTACCAAACTTCTTGAAACGCCTCACAACTTTTTTCAGGGGCTGAAATACTGCTTTGTTCTTGTGTTCCTTGTTAATGTTCTCGCGGACCCAACGCACAACTAACCAATACAAGAATTCGAGGTCTAAACAACGTAAATATTTTGGATAATTGAAAACGGTTGTTGATGTGAATTGGGAGACGTTGAGTCCGTTCATCTCCAAGGTATTTAGTGACTCTTGTGGTAGGGAGGCTATGTATGTGCTGATCAATGCAGAAGGTTGAGTGAATGATGGTTTAGAAAGCGGTACATTAAAGAATTTTGCCCAAGGGTCTTTCCATAATATTGGAGCAGACATTTCACACCAAAGACGGTTGACCAGTAGGCACGAGTGTAGAGATTTAGTGTCATGTCTGAGAAATTTTACCACCTCATGAATACAATCTGCATTGGTTTGAAAGGACATCTTGTATATACAAAAACATCAAAGGGACCGGCGAAAAAAGACAAAAAAAAAAATATATTAATATTACTAGTGAAGAGCGGAAGAAACGGTAAAGTTTTTTCAACTTAAATAAGTTGTGTCAACATAAAACAATAAGGTGACGTAGTATACAATAAGTCAATAAGTGTAAGGGGTACATCTGTGTCAATAGTACATAGGCGTACATTCCGAAAATGCCAGCCATTATATTGTTTCTCATTGTGGTCACATGGCTCATTGTCTATTTGCTCTTTTTTTCCTGGGGATTTCCGAGCGTACGATATATAATTGGCTCAATGGCGATTGACTTTTATGGCTCATAAATTTAATAAGCTTTGACAAATTTTATTTCTTTAACGATCAAACAATGCCATTGTTGTCGCCGTGCATTTGCTACAACAATGAAGGGTATGGGTTTTAAATTTTTTTTGACAATTAATAAACGAAAAAGACCTAACATTATGTTTGTTACATGTCAATTGTATTAAAAATATCTTCAGTATATACTGTATCTTTCAAAAAAAAATTAAAAAGTCAGATAAAAATATCTTTAATACAATGTTTTTTTTTTAAAAAAAATTATTAATTGTTTTAAAAAATATACATTGTATCATAAATCATATTAATTTGTTTGTTTCTTTCTTAACTTGCTTGTTAAAATATAATCAATAAAATTATATATGTTTTTGTTAAGCATATTGTTAAAAATATAATTACGTATTAAATTTATATTTTAACAATATTCTTTATAAATTTACTTTTACCAATAATTTAAAAAATCAACAATATACAATCTGGAACAAAAAAAAATTGTCTAAAATTAAAATTTTCTTTTTACCAATAATTTAATTTAATAATTAATTAATTAATTAAGATAAAATATATCTCTTTATTTATTTTAAATATATTAAAATAATGTTATTAAATTTTAATTATAAAAAAAATAGTAAATTAAATTTTTTATTTTTTTTATTATTTACAAAAAAATAACAATAATAAATTATGTATTTAAATTATTTCAATATATAAATAAATTAATTAATTAATTAGATATTAATAAAACTTGTCTTATAATTTTTTAATCTTTTTTCTTTTTGCTTAATATTAAGCTATCTACTTTTTACATATATTAATTTAATAAATAATATTAAATAATAAATATATTTTATTAAAAAGATAATTAGGATTCAATAATTTTTTTTAATAATTTATTGATAATTTTATGGATTTTTTTATATTTTAGCTTTGATAAAAAATTTTTTTATATTTTATTAAATCAAAATAGTATTAATTAAACTTTATTTATAAGAAATTACTTATTAACAATATTAACAATATTATAAATAATATATATTTCTTTTTACTAAAAAAAGTTTAATACAAGTTTTAAAAAATCAATCCACTTATTTTAATTTTCTTCTACTAATTATTCAAATAATAAATAAAAGCTTATCAAAATCTATACTAAATTTTAAATGATACCTATTATAAAACTAAAAAAATTTATAATATTTAATTATATAAAGATACTATAGTTAAGTATATATTTTTTTTTCAAGTTATAATTAAGAATTAGCATACTTATTTTTCAAAATTAACTTGATATATAGTAAACAAAATTGATAATAAAAAAAAATTTTTAATTATTTTTATATATAAAAATACTACGGTCCAAGTTAATCTTCAAATTATATAAAAATTTTAATATACATATTTATTTTTCAAATATAATAGAAGTGTTCAATAAATAAAGTTATATTGAAATTTCTTAAAATCATTATTATTATTTTTTTTTTATGAGGCACTTCTCAAATTGTAATCTTTAAAATTATTGTTATTTAACTATATATATAAATATATATTGTTAAGAAGTAAATAAAAAACTTATCTTTTAAATGTAAAACATTTTTTTTATAATGTTTAAAATTTTTTAACTAAAAAGTTATTTTTTATTTATTTTTTTAAATAATCAAAATATTTTTCTAAAAATTTATATAATATTAGTTTTAATTATATATTATTTATTAATAAAATTTATATAATAAAAATTTAAAGTTTAATTATAAGCAAAAATTTTAATTTTTAATAAAAGTTAATTTTAAATAAACTTAAAAATTTTTTAAGTTAAAGTTTATATAATTCATAATTAGTTTTATAGAATTATTTGTAAAGAATAATTTTAATTATTATTACAATTTTAATGGTTTAATTATAAAAATATTAATTTGTATTAGAAGTAAAAAAATTTTTTTATTTTAAACATATACTAAATTTTATATAATTTTTTATATTAAAATTTTAAACATAAAGTTTAAAGTATTTATTTTAAAAATTTTCAATAAAATTTTAATTTTTTACTTAATAAAATTAATAAAGAATATATTAAACTATATTTTTTATAATATAAATAAATTATAAAAATTAATATTTAAAATTTTATTAACATTTTTTAAAAACTTATTAAAATTTTAAATATACAAGCAAATTTACTTACATTATAATTTAAAAAATATGTTTTTCTATTTTTATAATATTTAAAAATATAATCTTGAATTTTTAATATTATTAGATATCTTAAATAAAGATTGTTTTAATATATGTTAAGATATCTTTTATTTAAAAGTTTTTTTAATAAAAAAGCTTTACTTAAGATTTGTTTCTAAAAATAAGTAATAAAAAAAAATAATATTTGTTTTTTTTTTTAAAGTGGAACATATGCAAGATATGTGATCTTTATTGATATATTTTATATCCAAACAAACACCAAATATCTCTATAAATTAATCAAAAATCAGTGGTACATAAATATCTGTTATGTTTCTAACAGTTAATCTATAGATTAACACTGTATTAATACACATATTGCTATAAGACTAGTTACACTAATCACTTATTTAAACACCCAAAGATATGCCTACATATCAAGTAGAACTTTCCACAGGGAAGAGAATCCTATTATTAATTTAAATTCACTTAACCTACTAAGTTCATATTGTAGAGAGCAGTGTAATATAGGATGTTATTATAAAGATTAACTCCAATTATTCCAATTATTTATTATTATTAATTCTCAGGATGTGCCACTAGCGTAATGCAGTACTACTGTTTTTACCACCTGTGAAACTGGCATCCTTGCATGGATTCCAATTTAATCTTAATTATTCTTACCAGACTTACTTGGTCTTAATGATTTTTGCCTGGATTGTCACCTCCTATAGCCAATAACCTTTTGCCCTTTCAGTCCATTTAAGTTTATATGAACACTACTCATGGGATAAATTTTTAAGCTTCATATTGGAACAAATCAGTTTAGGATTAACCTCTTTGGGTTGTGTGACGAAGTCTGCCATTGCCAGTTTGGATTGGGATTTATCGAAGTTAGACCAGAAGCCTTTTCTTGTGCAACCTTTTGTACTTTAACCTATTTTCAGCTCATGATTGTCAGGAAGACCAAAGGTCCCATCTTTATATAGCCTAATTAGATTTGGATATGATTTTAAGAATTATTGAATATGACATATGCAGGATATCCAGTAAACCTATATATGAAGGTAAATGTGCTTTTGCCTCCTGTGGATATTGAACTAGATATATACGTTTGATGACCAGGGAGCACTACACACTATGCTATTGACCCACGGGTCTTGTTTTTTATTTATTAGTAAATTATTTACTAGTATAAAATATTATAAAGTTTCTAAATATATTGTTTAATTCCATTTGTTTTTAATTAATATGTTATTAACAATATTAGTAAGTTTAAAGATTTGTTATACTTTTCAACATCAAAAGAACTTTGCCTAAATTATAGTTTTACAATCTATACATATTCAATATCAAACTTATTTTAGACCTACAATTAGAAGTTCTAATCTCCAACTTATAATACTTACTAACAAACCCCATCACTAAACTATCAAAAGAACAAGAAATTTTTGTGATACAAATTCAAAATTGCCAACCTTTTTGTATTTTCCAGAATCAACAAATTTGTAAACATAACATCACAACATATACAATTCAACTTGCCAACTATTATAACATCATATTTTGCATCAAAATCAACTGCCAACACAAAATTCCAGGTGGAATTACTCCAATATACCAATATCTTTCATATCATCAAAATTGAATAGTCTTTACAAAACAGCTTTTCAACAAAAACATATATTACATTAAACAACTACTAATCTATAATAACAACACCATCACAAATTAGCAACATATCTCTGCCAGACTTGACTACAATCCATATGGAAAAATTTCATTCTGGTTCAAACTTCTTTTATAACAACAATTCCAACAGTTAGGCACAAACCCAATCAAACCAAACAAAAAAAGAAAATGATTCGCAACTTTAATAAATAATAAAATAATCATAGGGAAAAAACAAAAAACTAATAGAAACAATCTTATCATCAACCATTGGACTTATAACAAACCAGATCCGAACAAATCAATAACATTATCCAAGTGCACAAGCTGTCTACTTAATATACATGCAAATACTCATGAATGTCAACTCCTAATCCCGTTTAACTCTTTAAATCTCTTTATCAAATTTCAATCAAACAATACAATAAAAACAAAAGCCATACAAACTGATCTAATTCATACACTCTTTATAAAACCACCTATCAATAATCCACAAATACTAATTAACATAGACCTTCTTGAAGCACTAAAACAAAAATATCTGTTCTCATTATCACAATTAATTATCAACTCTTTACCTCGATATACCAATACAAATCTTGAAATCTTACTTATTTTCAAACACAAATCTAACACAACAACTGTCACTTGAAACTATATACAATACTACAAATCTTTTTTAACAAATTTTAATTCAAGCTCACTGTTTTCACTTCTATATGCAATTATTATTATTCTTCTCTCTAACAACTTGAAAAGCTACAATTTCTTTATCATACATCCAAAACTGATCAACAAAATCCTTTTATCTCCATCTCTAAATTATA